CTATCTATCTATCTATCTATCTATCTATCTATCTTCTATCTATCTATCTATCTATCTATCTATCTATCTATCTACTATCTATCTATCTATCTATCTATCTATCTATCTACTATTTATCTATCTAGCTACTATCTATCTATCTATATATCTACTATCTATCTATCTATCTACTATCTATCTATCTATCTATCTATCTATCTATCTATCTATCTATCTATCTATCTATCTATCTACTATTTATCTATCTACTATCTATCTATCTATCTACTATCTATCTATCTATCTATCTACTATCTATCTATCTACTATCTATCGATCTATCTACTATCTATCTATCTATCTATCTATCTATCTCCTCTCTCTCTCTCTCTCTCTCTCTCTCTCTCTCTCTCTCTCTATCTATCTATCTATCTATCATTATGTATCATCATTTTAGTGCGCTAGAGAGCCCACTGGAACACGCTTTGTGTTAACGCACCACAAAGTCTACGTTCACTCTCTCTCTCTCTCTCTCTCTCTCTCTCTCTCTCTCTCTCTTTCTCTCTATCTCTATATCTATCTCTCTCTATATCTATCTATCTACTATCTATCTTTCTATCTATCTATCTATCTATCTATCTATCTATCTATCTATCTATCTATCGATCTATCTATCTACTATTTATAAATCTACTATCTATCTATCTTTCTATCTATCTACTATATATCTATCTATCTATCTATCTATCTATCTATCTACTATCTATCTATCTATCTCTATATATATCTCTCTCTATATATATCTATCTACTATCTATCTCTCTATCTACTATCTCTCTCTCTCTCTCTCTCTCTCTCTCTCTCTCTCTCACTATCCATCTATCTATCTATCATTATCGATCATCATTTTAGTGCGCTAGAGAGCCCATTGGAACACGCTTTGTGTTAATGCACCACAAAGGTGTGAACGTAGACTTAGAGTTGCCTATACCCAGGGCCAGATTTCCCACAAGGCCAACCAAGGCCCAGCCTCTGGGCAGCAGGGGTGTGGAATTCCTATCTCCCAATGCCTGGGCGGGTAGTTATTTTCTACATTTAGCCCTGCTTTGGGCAAGCAGAGCTCAGTGTACAGTGGGGAAGCCTCCGCTTCTCCGCTGTACATTTAGCTCCGACAAAAAGCAAGTAACAGCCATCTTTGTTGTAGGCAAAGATTCACTGCACAGTGCGTCCCCGCTGCCACAACCAAGATGGCCACTGACAATAAACCTTAATGCCGGTGGCCATTTTGGTTATGGTAGCAGGGACGCCCTGAGCATGTGCAAGATTTCCAGTGCGTTCTGCCAGAGAAACCCTACACTTTGATTGCCACCAGCCCCTTTATTTGACTTGACACCTGTCCGCTCCAGTATTTTCCAATAACGAACATTATATAATTTTACAATGCACATTCATTTACATTGCATGTAGTGGGGTGCCAAAATTGCACCAGCACCTGACACAGTGCACCACAACGCACAGGAGTGCCTTATCATGCAGAGCAAGTGCTTTGCGGTGCCACTCAAAATGCACCAATGCGCGTAATGCAGTGGTGAGTCGGCTCCCATAGTGCCTTAGCCAGCGTGTGTGTGTTCGGTTTGTGTGAAGTAACTGAAATGTATTGTTTTTCTTGCAGTATTTAAGCAAGCCGTTCAATAGCACCCCAAACCTGCCAACTCAGCCCTCAGAAGAATGTGGGGAGTCCTGTGAACAACTCACCTTTCTGTCAGAGGAGAGCGAAGAGACAAAGGAAGAGACCAATGAAAGTGCCTAGAGGACAACTCCACATTTAACACTATTCTCCATAACCTCTCCTTCATTCTATAGATTCACTTTACCTGTCATGAGAGAAATCCCGGTTCTGCCATTGCCAAGTTCCTCAAAGTTTTATGTTTCCTGTCCATCCTCCAAATTCCCTTTCCAAGCCATTGCCTGGAATAAGTACTCTGTCAGTGATGCTTTCTTTTGCAGATTTTGCAGCATTTCTGCTATTATTTTATACATTCCTGTTATTATAAGGAACTTTATATTGATTCAAATTTCATATATTAATATTGAGAGTTAATGTGGCCATTGCCCTCATTTCTATTGGCAGCCTCACAATCCATAATGATCTGCTGTTCCTTGCCATGCTCCAAAGGATCCTGTGCAGATATCCAGACTATACCACTAAAAATGGAGGGTATTTTTAGCTGGCTTTAAGCAAACCTCAATTTTGCCCATTTCATATAAATTTACCAGTTTGCCTTATAGGTCAGCTGACCTCACTTTGCCTGCGCTCCGCCTCCAGGGTACCCCAAAACTCCCTGTACACATTTGGACTTTTTGAATGTTGTGCTTGGCTCTGCCCTCCTCCTTATTCCCAAACCTCCCTATTGGTCCTTTAATGTGATTGGTAGTCTAATTTACCAAAGCTCAGGATGTAGACAGGGCAGGGAAAGCTCAAGCTTTACTCTTCGTTCACACCTTTGCGCACGTTGTTGTGCCATAGTGCCATTCATTCTTAATGGCTCCCCAATGCACCTTGCCGTGCACAGTAATGTACATTAATGCACTAATGAATGATGGTGCCTTTTTGTTTGGTGTGTTTTAGTGCGCTAGAGAGCCCATCGGAACACGCTTTGTGTTAATGCACCACAAAGGTGTGAACGTAGACTTAGAGATGCCTATATCCAGGGCCAGATTTCCCACAAGGCCAACCAATGCCTGGCCTCGGGGCAGCAGGGAGTAGAGGGGCAGCAGGAGTGTGGAATTCCAATCTCCCGATGCCCAGGCTTTTGGCGGTTAGGGGGTGCATTGAGGAACCTGGCCTTGGGGCAGCGTAGAGAGTAAATCCGGCCCTGCCTATATTTTTGTATTTTCACACTGAACCCCCTGCGTATGCATTTTTCATCATATGCACAGTTTGAATTGCCCAGGTATGTGCCTTGTGACAGGTCTACTTTAATCCAAAGTAGAACCAATGTGCAAAAATATCTGAGTTAGCAGGACTAACTCAATTCTGTTAGAAGATGTAAATGTTTTTGTAAAGTTATTTTTTTTTATACTGTTCATTTGTGGTTTACCTGTACCTTTGGAGGAAATGCAAGTGCTGCTTCACCTGCTGTTAGTTGGAACAACATTGGGATAATTTAATAAAGACAAGAAAAGACATGCAATGGCAGTAACTGTATCATCCATTCGGATATCAGTCACATCAGTAAGAGATTTTTAATTTACTCAGTTGCCATGGTTTACAGCAATTTCCACTTTGCTCTTCATCATATTAAATCAGCTCAATGTTCAACCTCATTCGATGTTTTAAAGTAAGCCCCCATTCACACCTAGGCATATTGTAATATGCGCGTCTGTCGCGTCAGCGATTCGCGGTAAAAAAACCGTGCGACGGTCGCGCGATTCTGAAGGCTACTTGGCTGTATCCCAATGGAAAACGCCCTACAAAACGGCCCAAAGTAGTGCGTTTTCAGGCGTGGGCCGTTTTGTAGGGCGTTAGGGACGGGCGGAAATACGGCAAGGTTGGAACGAGGGCATTGACTACAATGCAATTTATATTTTTGACAGTTTTGTAGAGCGTTCGTCGGGCGTAGGACGCGCTACAAAACGGTCAGGTGTGAACGGGGCCTGAACCTGTGTTTTGCCCATGCAGGGTAAAGCAGCAGGTTCTTTTAGCCGAATTGTTCATCTCTAACTTCTACTTTACCTGTCTTTTGACTTTAAACTTTAAGATATATTTAGATGTTTGTGTTAAATTATAAACGTCTTTGTAAGGTATACACATACAAGTAATTACACTATTTTCTTTTCTTTTTGCTGTACTTGTTACCTGAGCACAGCAATGAAAAGCCTTTATATCCTAAAGGCCCAGAGCAACCAATCGGAATCCAGATAGACATAGAATCTGACTGATTGCCCATTATTACATGGATACAGTTATATTTGTTTTATATCTTTATGTGGCCTACAATAAATGGGGACTTTCTATTGTTTTTGTGATTAACAATGATTTTTTTAATAACCTAATAAATATGTATTTTTGCCAAAAGAAACACGACTGTCTTATGAGTGAAATACATGTTTTTAGCTATATACATTATTTGGCCAACTGTGGCCAACGTTTGTGGACATCTGATTATCACACCCCTGTATGAGCTTGTTGGTCATCCCATTCCAAAACCACGGGCATCAATGTGGAGTTGCCCATCTTCTTCCTTTGCAGCTATAACAGCCTCCACTCTTCTGAGAAGGCTTTCCACAAAATTTTGGGTGTGCCCATGGGAATTTGTAGAATTCAGCATTTGTGAAGTCAAGTACTAATGATGGACAAGAAGACCTGGCTCACGGTTCCAATTCTTCCCAAAGGTGTTCAGTAGGATTGAGGTCAGGGCTCTGTGCTGGACTTTTAAGTTCCTCCACACCAAAGTCTTTATGGAGCTGGCCTTGTACACAGGGGCACAGTTATCCTGGAACAGAAAAGATCCTTCACCAAACTGTTGCCTTCACCAAACAAGTCTTTATAGAGCTGGCCTTGTACACAGGGGCACAGCTATCCTGGAACAGAAAAGAGCCTTCATGACTAGGGCTAAGTAAAGCAGAAACTTGGACTTTGGAAGATCATCATGTGCTCTTTCTACAGTTTTTGGATGGGGGAAGGTGCCAGGGCTGAATCAAATTGCCTTGTGAGTAATGTTGAGTGTATATCTGCAAAAAGCAGATACATTAGGCCTTCAATAGTCCGTTGCCCCTCAATGCATTCACAAGATGTCCCATTGCTAAAACATAGAGTCCAAAAACCTTTCATAATACAACTGGTTTACAAACGACAACACAGAACAGCCAATGCATTTTGGGGGCTCAAAGACCTCCCCCTTCCTCAGGGCTTAAACATATTGTGTAGTAATATGGACTCAAAGCTGACACAAATCACCAGGGATTCATTATTTGCCGCATAAGGCGTAACCAAAATCAGCAAAACTTTTGGGAGTTTTTGGACTCTCGGATTGTTTGGTGCTGTCATTGGACTTTATATAAATGAATCCTGAATATAATACCGTAGCTGGCAGTGCAGATTCCTGCATTCATGCCGTTTCTCGTGGATGGGGGAATGGAGTGATTTCTCTTGCTCAGCTCATGGGGCTAAACGAGAGAAAATCTCTAGCTGTGTATGGCTAGCTCACGTAGATGATTACATAGTATACAGTCAGTAGATTCTGGTGCCCGGCATCTTAAGGATTACATCAGCAGTCAATTTACTGGTCTGATATGTTGGAGAAAACCTTCACGTTCACATTGCAGCTCTTCATAATTCCCTGGAATAGGTGTTTCATAACACTTCCACTTCATCATTTTATGGCATGACACTGCATATTAGATATTGTAACAATGCGGCATGTTGCAACATCATATCACCGACACAGTTACTGACTGGCAGTGTATTTCTTGGCAGGACAATTCTTCTTTTAAATTTTATTAAAGCATCTGAGACAGAACTGCTTTTGTTGTCTGCAGAATATTGATTCCCACCCCCGGGGACTACTGGCCGTTGTTTTCTACATTCTGCAAGGTTCTGTAGAACGAGGTGCTATAGTAAGAAGATCAATGTGTCACTTGCTGGACTGGGGTAATTTAGGGGCTGATTTATAAATGGTCCACCCAGTGAAGAGCTATGCAGATGCTGTTTACATTACACTAGATGGAGCCGAGGAGCGCAGGTAATTCCTGTGGTGCTGCTAGTGAAATGAGAACGGTATCTGCCCGGTAACCCCATAAAGTATATAAAGCCCAAACTTTTTTTTCCATTTTGGATAGAGTAGGGAATGGTTAGAATCCCTATCAGTTTTTCTCTTTGTCCTGTAGGAACAGCAGGATGTGAAGGAAATGCCACCAGACAGCTGTCGCTGGAATAAGTGTTTCCACTGGAATATTTCCTCTTTTTCTGTTCTGATGACAACTCAAACTTTTCCCTAGCTGGGACACAGCAACCAGGCAGGGTGTGGAAGTGGCAGCCCTTTGTACTTTGATGCATGTAATGCATATTTCATATATGTCTGCAATTTACCATGAATTATATTTTGTAGACATAAATAGTTGATCTATATGACATCATTCTATTTGACTATTTTGACTCCTGCGTAAGCTCTGGGGTTTATTCTGTCTCTCCTCCACACCATGAAAGATAGGAATCACCAGCACTCAGTAGATAATGTTCAAATGGGCCATGCAGGGTCCCTTCATCAGGGCAGAGATGTGACAGAGATGTGAGATGGGTCACATCTCTACCCTGATGAAGGGATCCTGCATGGCCCGGAAACGTTGGTTACTGCAAGTCGCGACATGTGTGATGATTTGTCCAAATAAATGGACGTTACCATTTGAACATTATCTACTGAGTGCTGGTAATTCCTATCTTTCATTGTTTGCTGTGCACGGCGCCATCCGTGATTGTCACTACGAGCACCACCATTGTTATTTGGGCTGGAAACGCTGTAAGGAGTGTAGGGGACCCTACCGTTCTCCTCCACACCAGACATGTTTACTGCTCTTATTCCACTGTAAACCCTTGGAAGCTACAGTGGGTGATGTGCTGGTTAAGGATGCATGCACATATACATTTTAAAGCAGATATTTGGAAACATTCATTTAAATCTATTCCTCAACAGCAACACAGAATATAAATCCAATATTATGCGCACCAAATTACATAGTTAAATAGTATTTGAGGTTGAATAAAGACATAAGTACATCAAGTCCAACCTATTGCCTGTATGCATTTATGTTTGAGCAGGTGTGTGCGTGTATACGAGTCCATGTGTGATTTTTCT